TAGTCTCTCTTCTTCATTTTCTTCAACCCCAAGTATGAGTAGCTAGATTTTCACTAGGGTTGTGACCCAACCCTAGTGTGTTAACCTTATGGGTAATTAAATTAGTACTTGTTTATGATTGAGTTTTTATTATTTAGCCTAATTCATGCTTTAATTTGAGGAATTAGTGGTTGCAAACATTAGTTCATGCCTATTTGACTTAGTCTCTTCTTGAGAAAGAGAGACCTAGTCTAGGATAATTTGGCTAACAAGGAATTAGGTCAATTGAGAGATTGATTCACCCAATTAAAAGGTTTAACTTAGAGATAGTAATAACCCGACTTGAGCTTTTATCAACTATTTTGTGTGATACCTATTTGGTCTTGAGAAAGCCAAATTGGGCAAAATCACTCTCTAACCCAAAGGTATTGAGTGGGTAATTTAGAATTGATAGCTATAATACACCCCAGTCAACAAAACAAGCATTAAGGTCTTTAACCCATTAGGTAAACACCTAGGTAATGGTCACAGCCCTAGGCTTTTTACCAATTTGACAAACCTCAAAAACAACTATTCCTAGTCTTCTTTCTTTATTTAGCAATCTTTAGTGTTAAATTAGAAATAGCATGCAAACCTTTATGTGGAAGTTCAAATCAAGATAATTCAATCACGCGCATTAAAATATATACCCTTAACTCCCATCTTAGCTCCATGTGGATTCGATCCCGACTCTTAGTTGGGTTACTATAATTGCAAATGACTATTTCATACCTTTTTAGAGGTATGCATTTAGAAGTGATCAATATCTGTGATCAGCCGGATATCACGGCGGGGATCTCGGCACGTATCGGCACAGAACCAGTGATTGGTTAAACAGAAGATTTTTTACCTTTCATAAAATTGTACTTAGGGTAAAACTCCCTTACTATATAAAGGGGGGTCTGATTATTCATTGGGGACACTGTAACACGTATATCAAGGCAATAAACTATTATTTACTTTGTTATTCAAAGTACTAGTTCTTGTTCATCAGTGCTTGGTCATTGTGAGTCCGGGATCGAGGGCAGATACTTCATTAAGGCTGTTATTAAGTCTAGAATCGCCCTCCTCGAGTGGTTTGATAATTTATTACCTCCTTTATCCGTTTAATCTCACGCAATTTATCGTTTGTATCAAATTAATCCATGTACCTTTAAAACCACAAACAAATTTAATTGTTATCCATTTTTTAGGGTAAACAGTTTTATTAAATATAATCCGTCATGAATTTTTGTCAAAATAAAAGTATTATTTATTCCACATTAGATGTGGTGACAATATTACCCAAGATTAAAATAAAATAAATATTTATTCAACTTTATCCAGTTAAAAATCAAATACAAAATTAAAATATTGTACATCCCATTTTTAATTTAATAAATCAAACAAAACAAATGCTAAATAATTCAGGAATTATTAATCCAGTATTATTATCTAACATTATAATCTCAAATATAACTTTATTGGCAAATCAAAAGCAATGTTGTGTACGTCAAAAAGAAGTCAAGAAAGTCTCAGCCAAGAGATTTTTAAAAGCCACGTGGCACAGCAGAGACCTCTTTTATGCCATGTAAGAATCAGAAGGGGAATCCAAATCCAAAGCAGAAACCAATCAGCAGCAGCTGCTTTGTAATCCTCAAAATCCATTATTTTCCATAAATAAGCCTTCTTTTACTTCCCAATTAGCAGTGAAAGTAGAAAGTAAGCTTTTTCATAGTTCAAACTTAGCAGCAGCACAAAGAAGATAAAAAAAAAGAAATCTTTAAATGGCTACTTCTGCAATTCAACAATCTGCATTTGCTGGACAGACAGCTCTTAAGTCACAAAATGAGCTCGTTAGGAAGATTGGTAGCTTTAATGGTGGACGTGCCACTATGAGACGCACCGTTAAAAGTGCCCCGCAAAGCATTTGGTAATTTCTTAATTTCTTGAATGAATTATATATTAATGAGTTGTTCTTGTCGATTATTTATAAGGTAGTCTGATATGGACTATATTTTGCATATTGTGTTCAATCTTACCTCGCATTTCTGCGAGCAACTATTTTCATGACATATATTTTTGACCTCTTGATCGCACGATAACAACTCTAATGGTTGCGTCAAGATTTCCTTTTGCGTTAATTATTAAGATACACTAAAAATCAAAAAGACATTTAACACACCCATATTGAATCCATTTCCACTGAGAAAGTAAATTTGTAATTTGATAAATCTAGAGCTTGATGACATAAATATAACAAAATATTGTGGCTTGATAAAAGAAGAATTAACCCAAATTGCCACCCACCTAATTTCGTANTATAAATGTGTATAATCTATGTATACCGGCAAGAAAGAATAAACAGTGAATCTGACTGACTATTTGTGTAACAATCCTTGATAAAATAGATATGGAGAAGATAGGCCAAAGTACTTGGGACCATTCTCCGAGCAAACTCCATCGTACTTGACTGGTGAGTTCCCAGGTGATTACGGGTGGGACACTGCTGGACTTTCAGCTGACCCAGAGACATTCGCTAGGAACCGTGAGCTTGAGGTGATCCATTGCCGTTGGGCCATGCTTGGTGCTTTGGGCTGTGTATTCCCTGAAATCCTTTCCAAGAATGGTGTTAAATTCGGTGAGGCAGTTTGGTTCAAGGCCGGATCTCAGATATTCTCAGAAGGCGGTCTTGACTACCTTGGTAACCCAAACCTTATCCATGCACAGAGCATTCTTGCCGTTTGGGCATCCCAAGTTGTGCTCATGGGCTTAATTGAAGGGTACAGAGTTGGTGGAGGCCCACTTGGTGAAGGTCTTGACAAGATCTATCCCGGAGGAGCTTTTGACCCACTTGGGCTCGCTGATGATCCCGAGGCATTCGCTGAGTTGAAGGTGAAGGAAATCAAGAACGGTCGATTGGCTATGTTCTCAATGTTTGGTTTCTTTGTTCAAGCTATTGTCACAGGAAAGGGACCAATTGAAAACCTTTTCGATCACGTTGCTGATCCTGTTGCCAACAATGCTTGGGCTTATGCTACAAACTTTGTACCCGGAAAGTGAAATGATTAATTTGTAATCTGTACAATTTGTGGGGCTACTGCATATTTTTGATGTACTATAAACCTGCTAATATATATGCAAAAGCCAACATTACATATTCTTCAATTCAGTATCTCTAATAAAAGATAATCATTATTCCCTCCATTTTAAAAAGATTGTCATAGTTTGACTTGACACAAACTTTAAAAAAGAAGAGAAGATTTGTGATATGTGGTCTTAAATAAGCTATAGCATTTGCGTGACGGTAAAACTTTTGAAACTTATGTTTTGAAATTTGACATAGCATTTGTGTGTGGCCAAGAAAGAGCTGATCTTGATCTGATTCAGTTGTCCGCGATAGAAAAATCAGTTCATGTGGTAAGTCTGGCTTGACGGCGACAACATTCTTGGCTGAAGTCATTACATGTGACTCTGAGAACGATTTTATTGTTCTGTTTTCTCTCTGCTGTTTTGCTCTTTCTAGTTGCCTGAAACTTTCTTGTATTAATGCAATAGAAGGACCTGTGATATTAGGATCACTACTCTGCCTTTCCATGAAAAAAGCAACTTCACCTACCAACTCCAAAATGTGATAACAATAGCGGATTTTGTTTGTTTTGAGGGCTTTGAAATGTGCATATATAGGGAGAGAATGGCTAGTTTTTGACGTTACAACAACCCAGTGAAATCCCACAAGTGGAGTCTGGAGAGGGTAGTGTGTACGCAGACTTTACCCCTACCATGAGAAGATAGAAAAGCTATTTTTGATAGACCCTCGGCTCGAGAAAGATGAAAAGAAATAGTAGAAACACACAATATCAACAAAGAGGGCCGGAAGGATATTAACAGCAAAGAAAACAGCAGCAACAAGCTGTAACAACAACAAATACTGGTTTGTGACATTGGTTTATTGAAATTTCAGCCAGGATGTAGCAGGGAGCCGTATGGGCGACTAGAGAACAAAATCCAAAAAAGAAATGTTAGAATGCTTATGTTAAAGGTAGCTAGTTTGATGTAGGGAAAGCAGTATTTAGTTTTATTTTAAGAGGAAAATGGCAAGAGGAAGTGCACAAAAGAGGAGAGTTGCACTTGGAAGGTTGTGTTTGAAGGACTAAAGGATTAGGTATATTAAGTCGGCTTGTCTTTCATTAGACCATTTTTTTAACATCCTTCTTGTTGTTCTGCTGTTGATTGTGTTATGAAAATTGTAAGGTACTTCTCCCAAATTTATGGATGTATTGCTTTCCAGGTTGAAACTATTGAATCAAATTATACATACAGGCAATGGACTAAAGATAGACATTATCAGCACACTTACATTAGGTCTCAGTAGTCTTTTTTAGTTTAGTGAGTTATTGTATGACATGTAAGGATAGAGTGCGCGAGCTCCTAATTTGTTGTGAAAGACAGATTATTGAGTAGTGTAATGAAACAATTCTGAAAAGAGTAGAACAGATATAGATGATTCATACAACCGACTCCAACTAGTTAGGGATTGAGCAACGATGTTATTGTTGTTGTACTGCTCCGCACAGTGAACAAATGAACCTTTGAAAGTGATAATCATAGCTTATATGTTGGTGAAAACACCAAGGAAGACACGAGTTAGTTTTTCTCACACAAATTTGACTTCTTATCCAACTGAAACAACATCTACTATGTGATCAAGAAAAAGGACTGTAAAAATCTAAAATAATACAAGCGGATGACACATAAACTGTCAAGTAACATGATAAAACTAGACTATATCAATAAAGGTGGTGATGTAATTCTCACCTAACAATTTATCTGCAGCTGTAATTAAGCATAAATGACCAGCAGCGCACCAACTTCAGCTAAAAACTACTACTTTTACAAGCAAAGATTTACCATTAAGTGTGTATTACATATTCAAGGTTAACATCAAGCATAACTGATATTCAAAAGATCACATAATCTTAAAACATTCATTGAAAATCATCTTATGTAATTACACAGAAGAAATATTTCAGGAAACAAAACAACAAAGTGCTGAACCAATTAGGCATTCCCTGAAACATTAGAGGCCTAAAGACACCATTTTGAGGATCATATAAAGCCACATTGCCACTTTTGTACTCAAGTAAGAGCTCTTCATTCTTCAACAGGCATACAACTTTCACCAAATGTTCCATGACAGAATTTGGAGTTGGTGTATAAGCCCCAATTATGAACTCCTTCACCCATGACTCTTTCACATTGTATTCTTTCATTACCCAAATTTCTGTTCCTCCGCCATTTTGGTGAGGCAAAGTTATAGCAACAGCAAGACAATCTCCAACAACTGCTAGATGAAACTTGTGAATTCTTGGCTTGTCGACAAAATCAACCTTTGGAACTTCAGCAAATACCTCATCAGCTAAATCAAAGGAAACAATAAGCTTATCACGACGTCCATTATACTTTCCAAATCGAGTCAACCAATGCATCTTCCCGTTTAACATAATTCCTTGATAATTTGAATCAATAAGGTAATCAACTTTCTCAATTCTCTCTTCAACTGTTGCCACCAAGAGTAAATACATCAACTTTTGAATTATTAAATGAACGGCCGTCATCATGATAGATGGCATAAAACATGATCTTGATCACCTTGTACTCTTTGGTAATAGGATGAAAACCAAACGCAAGAATCGATTCTTTCTTCTGAAATAGATTCATATAGCAACGTAGGTGCTTGTAGTCTCCTGTAAAAGGATTGTACACATAAAGTGCATCAGTAAACAGAGAATCACACATGCACAATAGTCCATGGCAAGAGCCATCCACTCTGCACCGATGCATAAAATTTGAATGGGGATGTCAAGACTCATGAGTTGCTCCATTCAAATACAATGCATTGGTGCAAAGTGGATGGCACGGCCCCTGCCATATGTATCCAAGGCCTGCCCAACAGCAAGTTGTAGGAAGAAGAGATGTCCATTACTTGAAACAACACCGGAAAATCGACCGGCCAATTTGCAAGGCTAGATAAATTTCTTTGATAACATCTTTTTGCGAACCATCAAAGGGTCTCACACTTACGTGGCTTTCTTTGACTTCCCTCAAATGATTTCCCAACTCCCGTAGGGTGAAGAGCGGTCAAATGTTGACCCCTGATCCGCCATCGACCAACACGGGACACTATTTTGTCCCCGCATTTGACGTTGTTGATAACTTTTCATTTCTCCAAATGTCTTTTAGTTTTTTCAAGAGCAATCTTCTAGGAACTTGTAATGCATTTAGTATACGTTTTTTATTGTGCCCAAGACTCTTGAGCTGCTCTTTTGAGTATTTATACTTCTGTATGATCAAGTGAAAGGACTATTAATAAATGGGAAAATTACTTTGGGCCACACCATGTTTGGCCACATTGACCCAAATGGGGTCATTAAAGTAAATTTACGCCCAAATTAGGGTTTCTGGCCAAACTTTATACCGAGAATGCCCTTACAGTTAGGTTTGAATATTTCTCTCTCACCCATTTAATGCTTGTCTTCCCAATACATGGAAGATCTCAAGCATGCAAACCCTATTTCCCATAAACCTTTTTTTTTAAAATCTTTTTACGTATTTTTCATCCTTTTTTTTTGTAGCATACACATATATATTTCGAAATTATTCATCTATATACACGTATTTAATTTATTGTGTATTTCGTATATCTTTCGTATAATAAGGTCTTCAAAGCCCTACTATTTAAACAAACCTAGATGACCGAAAGCATACTTAAGCAAACCTTCATTTAAACTCCTATGTTCTTCTAAGTGTGAGTTAATAGATTAAGGAATCAATAATGGTGCATTCGAAGAAGAATAGTGCTTCAAAAGTATATGTGGTATTTTCTAGTAAAAGGCGAGGAATATACTACTCATGGAGTGAATGTTCTTCTATAGTTATCGGGGTTAAGCGTAGCATCTTCCAGTCTTTCAAGTCTCACGATGCAGCCATATAGGCGTTCAATGAATTTGAAAAATCAATTGAAGGTAAAAAAAATCTCAAATCTATGGTTTTTGTTGTATTTTGTGGTAAGAAGCCGGGATTATACAAATGTTTGGTCTGAGTGTGTTAATATGCTTGTTGGAGTCGAGGGTAGCTACTTTCAAGCTTTCCAATGTTATGATGAAGCCTTCAACAAATTTCAGAAAACAAGTTGTTCACAGGAAGAGTCATCTTCAAGCTCGGCCATTGAAGAAAGTGAAGAAGTGATAACAAATAAAAATGCAGCAAGTGCTATTTCATCTGCTATATTAGCCGGCATATTTATTGGGTTGAAGGTGTCAGAAAATGTTGCAAACTAATTATGTCAATTTTAGTTCTTATTTTATCCTATATTAGAAAAGTGTTTGCTATTTTTCTTTGGTGTGCAAGAGATAAAGACTTTGTTTTTCATTTTGAATATCAAGTATTGTATAGAGTTGGGCATGATTATTTGATGTTTACTTTGTTCATTATTTATGAAGTTCTAATTTTATGACTTCTTTAGCATTTCGATCATGTTTCATGCAAACTATTCCAAGGAAATAATCTGCATTTTGTACATTTTGTATTAATCTGCATTCCTAAATTATTTTTTTTGTTATTTTCTCACTTGGATTTTGGAGCCAAATTTTGTACCCACTGATTTTTCATCTTGAGTAAATTCTGGATTATTGTGAGTCAATCATTTGAAGAGCCATAAAAATACAAGTTAGATCAATAGTGACTCCTGAATTTTTATTTAATCTCTTGTTGATTCAGTTCATTTTGTGATGGTTGCTTTTGAGTTTCATCTCTAGAAAAACTTACGTTCAAGTGAGGTTAAGATGTTTGTATCTCTGTGTTTGTGATGAATCTGCATTTGAATGTTAAATTATTTAATAAATAAATATTAGTATTTACTTTTAGTTTCTCACTTTTAGTATGGAATATGTGTGAGAAGGATACATTTCTCTTTTGATATTGCTAAAACGGATAAAAATGCATCCAAGGATCTACATGGCACTGTTCGAGTTTATGATTTGAGTAATTAATTTCTTTGAAGCATGTTTCATTTTTTTATTCTAGCTATTCTTCCTTAATTTCTTCTTTTAATATTAGAGTGGTAATTTTCATTTTGTTTTCTTCATAATAGATAGGCAAAGTGACCATATTTATGCATAAAAAACGCGTATTGCTTTTGGCTCGATAATATTTGAAACTAGGGGATAAAGGAAGCAAAAATATTTAAAAACATGTATCAAAAAATAAGAACCAAAAGTAAAGAAAGCAATGGGTAAAGAAATACAAAATAAGCATTTTCATTGATTACTTGATACTCTTTAATATATTCCAGATAATATTTGGAAGATAATTCATTTTAGCATACCATGCTACAAACATGGCATGCATAACAAAATGACTTAAAATACCAATCTTTTACTCTACTCTGTCTTTCGATTGATAAATTTTGATGGCTTAGAGGCGACTTCGGTGTCACTGCTTATAACGATAACAGGTGCATCGTTATACTCATTTTGGTCAGCGAGCAGTTCCTCCAACATGTCGTAACAACAGGTAAGAGGGTAGGAATCAAATAGAAGCCTTTTCACGTAGTCGGTGCCAATTTCACGCGTCATCCTAAGCAGCAGCAAGTTCGCCTCAGTTTTCAGCTTTTTCAACTGGTTTCTTACATCTTGGTACAGGATGTTGTGGTTAACCGAAGAACCATGAAGAGGTTTAGCAATTGTTTTTTTAGTTGGAGTTCTTTCCATTGTTATTTTTGCACTTTTCGCAGAATAGGTAGATGATTTGGATGATGAGATTAATAATATAGTTTTCCTTCTATTTATTGCATTATGGTTTGAATTTATCTAGAGTTAGGGTTAGGGTTAGGGTTTCAGATTAGTTAAAGGGAAGAGTCCCATTTCCTTCCTTTTATTTAATTTGAATCACAATTTTCAATGAATCTTTTATACTCCTCAAAGAAGTCTTTACATTTTTCAATGCATCCATTTCGTTTACCCAAAATTCTATTGATGAACTCTTGATCCAACCAGTAGTGAGAATATCTGGTTTGAGAATATTGAACGCTTAATTTCTTTCAATATTAACGGTATTTTCCAGTAAATATTTTGCCACATAATTTAACCACTGAAATAATTCTAGTTAGCCTAAAGAATTCTTATCCTAAAGAATCCGAGAGGTGAGCAACTGTCTGGTTTGGTTTGAATAGAGTTAGTTGAATTGTATTAATTATTTTGGTTACCAATATTATACTGATAACTATAATTTTTGAATCCCCATGTACTAACTATTCACATGCAACCATTTAACTTCTCAATGAAGCATTTATACTTCTCAATTAGTAGTGTGTAGGTAGAATTAGGTTGAATTGATTTAAGTCTGCATCTTGAAGAATTGATTTTTTTTAAAAAATATTAAAAATAGTCTTTGAAATTGATTTCATATGGAAGAAATGAAAACTGTTATAGCAAAGAAGACCAATATGATGAAATGAAATTTAAAAACATCAATAGTTCAACAGAAAATCAAAAGCACAACTAGCATAACTAAATCAACATGAAAATAAAAGATAATAAAGGGATAGAAAAACACAAAACACATCCTAAAAACTAATCAATTTCAACCGGATTATGATCAGAAGTTCCTTCTTCCTTCACTTGAACATTGAAGTCAACATATAGTGGTGCAACATCAACCAATGTAAATTTGACGACGAAACCTCGCTTGACATATTGTCCAAAACAAAAACTTTCCAGTCTACTTTGAACCTTCTTCGATCACCAACGCTCATAGATACATACTGCTCTTTGCCACGATAATGAAGAAGCGCGATTTCAACTATTGGAGGAAGATGCTTGTAGAGTTTTCTTGGAATATACTAAAAAAAAAAATACTATTAAGTTTTCGAAAAATATAAAATTGAAACACGAAAGAATATATATACAATATTGATGCACAACCAGATCGTCGTAGTTGATGTATGAATCAGTCATAATCACTTTAAATATTGGATGATTCTCTTATTCATCATCACTAGTAGAAGAGTAAGTTAGGGCTCGTTTGGTAGAGGGAGAGGCGTCCATAGTTAAGGTTTGTAGGTGAGTGTTTCTTAGGTCTTTAGTGTTTTAGTATATGAGACTATATATATGGGGCCAACCCAGTCCAAAAAAATATTTCAAACACCCTCCTGAACAAAAAGGGTGTATTGAATGCTAATTTTCCCTCTTTTTCTTCGTACAATTTTGACAACGTTGTATCATATCGTTTGAGTGCTAATTAAATAGTGTTTTAATTCTAATTCCATTGCTTTTCATCCTAAATTTGAATCCTAAGTAGCAATTTTTCTAATGAAATATAGCCTAATGAATACTCCAATTTAGTATTGATAACTACAATTTTTGAATCCCCGTGTAGATATTAAATCCTATTTATTAACAAAACTATTCACATACCAACCATTTAACTTCTCAATGAAGCATTTACATCTCTTATTTACTCTTCCTTAGATTTTTTAAATTCAAGAGTGTATTAGTATGAGTTTGCAATTGCTATTTCCTATTAGTATTTTGAAATGATACAAAAAAAAGATACAGTTATAACAAAAAGAAAACAGGTAAGAGCTGGATGAAGATAGAAACTTGATATCATTCATAGTTCAATAGAAAATAAAAGTACACATTCCATAACTGGATGGAATTAAAAATAAAAGCTAACAAAGGGAAAAAAATAACACAAACATAACCTAAAAACTAATTAATTTCAACCGGATCTTCAGGAGTTCCTTGTCTTTTCACTTGCACTTTGAAGATAACAAACAATTGTGCACTTTCAACCAACTCAAATTTAACGAAACAACCCCACTTGATATCATACTCCATCACAAAATTTTTCCAGCCGTCTTTGAGCCATCTTTGTTCAGCAATGTTCATTCCTACAAACCACTCTTTGCCACCATATTGAAGAAGCGCGGTAGTATATGTTTCAGGAAGATGCTCGTAGATTCGTTTTGGAATATGCTGCAAACAGAAGAAAAAATCATTAGTTTGAAACTTAATTTTTCCAAAACCAAATCGAAACACATATATATTTCGTTTTTCTTAAAAGAGGTTCTCAATCTGTTTGTTTGAAACTAAGTTTTTCCAAAACCAAATTGAAACACATATATATTTCATTTCTGCCGCTTTTTCAAAACCAAATCGAAAAGCAAATTGTTGATTAGCATCATAGTTTTATGATGTAAGAAACTCATTTAAGCCCAAGAGGACTAGAAATTACATGTCCTCTTCTTTCGGAAATAATAGAACCCAGAACAAGAATGTGAAACATTAAAATTTTTAAAAAAAAACTCTTGAAAATCTTAATCCAATTTGGTCATAGAGAATTGAAAAAGTCATCACGAATAATGAATAATTGTATTAATTAGTGATTCAAGGTATTGGAGACCGAAATATTAAATACAATTCAACCACCTCTAGACTTTTCGGATGCTAAACAAAAGGGAAAGCATAATTTTTCAAAACAAACTATGTTGCTGCTAGGTTTCGAACCTTGGTAGCGTATGAAAGGGAAAAAACTTAGAGAGTTGATCAACCAGCGGGTCTATCGGCATTCCTGGTTGGATTCAATATTATAAATACCTTTATTAGTGAGCTGATAAAAAAAGAGAATGTTGGTACTTGTTTTAACCCAGGCAGCAAAGGTTTAGAGTTCATCAACATGACAATATTTTGAGCAAATGCTTTCTGCACTTTCTTTGTTAGAGTACAACGTAACTAATCCAAAATCACGGGGAGAGATAACAACAATAATGTCGTAGCTAATATGCCATTAAAATCAAACAAACACTATAAGAAAAAAAATAATATGTTTAAGTTTCATAAATCATTAAACACCAAAGTTTATACAAAACAAGCAAAATTTCTTCAAAATCAAAAAGTCATGGACCAAATAAAACAACAATGCAATTAGGCCTATTGAGAACTCCAAGTTTCAACTATATTCTTTATTGCTTATTATAGCTCCAAGTCTGGTTCGGCATTGAGATCAAACAAGCTTGATTGCGATTGTGTAGCGTCAATTTGCTGCAATTTAAATCAAATAAACACTATAAGAAAAGATGATATGTTTAAGTAATAAATCAAATGTAGTCGCAAAATTATACCACATTCATACCTAAGGAACCATCATGCTCAATGTTTGTACCTCTGCCTTGCCCATTACCCCTACCCCTGCGTCCACCACTTCTATCGGTACCTCTACTACCACGATTGCCACTAC